GGAATTGACTCGATGGCCGTGAGTTGGTTTTTAAAATTTTTAAATTTATGTTGAGGACAAGAAAAAGGACATCCCAATTAATCCTGGAGCGTGACCTCCACGATAAAAAGGAAAAATGTTTGGGAAATGTATTGGAAAGCCTTTTGTGAACACGGTTGAATCATTGCGGCTCAGGTGTGGAGTAAGGACCCTCAGCCCCAGAGCCGCCAGGGGGTGGAGCTCTACGGGGAGAGTCTAAAGGAGGGGCATCAAAGTCTAGTCCAATGGAGTTTTTAAACAAAATGTACTAGTTTTCAAAACTACGTAAGACATGTGGAACCCCTACAGAAATCCAATCCACGTGCCTTTATTTTGCTATAATTGGCAGCCCTCAGTGAACAGGCTCTGCCACAGTTTATCTGCTCCTTGTCATCTCTGCTGTAGTTGTACAACCCCCCTGCCCGCCCCCACCCCAATGGCCTCCGGAGGGTCCTCTGTCCTGTGTAATGGGTCATGCCCTTGGTCATGAGTTGTGCAGGCAGCCCAGCAATGTCTATTTAGAATTTGCTGGTGACTTCTTCAGCGCCTTTTCCCGTTTGCCTCTCTTCTGGCTGGCACATCCAACCTCCTTAAAGACGAAAGGAAGGGCACTCACGATGACCGAGTTCTTCTACGTACCAAGAAAGTCTTCTGCCACTGGACCTGTGAGGGACACGCTATGAGTCCCTCGTTTTGGACACAGGAACCTGAAGTTCAGGACAGCCACCAACAGGCAGACGGCACAGCTGTGACTTGAACCTAATCTGCCTGACCTTCAAAGCCCATGTTTCTTCCAAAGGTAACTGTTTCCCAAGCACACTTCACAATATGAATTTCAGACATACAGTCCATAGTGAAAATCCCAGTCACCCTGAGCCTGTCTTTCCAAGTGTCTTCTGTCCACCCGCCTCATGAAAAAGAGAAGAAAAAACTCAACAGAAAGGAGTCTTTGTGGAACAGTTCTGGAATATCTGGATTAGGTGTTACGTTGCTAACTGCCAGGTTGGTGGTTCAAAACCACCAGCAGCTCTGTGGGAGAAAGATGAGGCTGGCTGTTCCCATAAAGACGTCCAGTCTGGGAAATGCTGTAAAGCAGCAAGGTTCTCAATCGGTGGGTCACGACCCCTTTGGGGGGGTCGAACGACCTTTTCACAAGGGTCGCCTACTACAGCCTGCAGATCAGATATTTACGTTATGATTCATAACAGTAGCAAAATTACAGTTATGGAGTAGCAACGAAAATAATTTTATGGTTGGCGGGTCACCACAACATGAGGGGCTGTGTGAAAGGGTCGCGGTGTTAGGAAGGCTGAGAACCCCGCCCCAGAGGGTTGCTGTGAGGTGGACTACTCAATAGATGTGGGTTGAATTAAAGCTATTGCATCAAGAGGTTTCCTGTCCTGTGGGTTTCTAATCAGCACAGGGAAAAACACAGTGAAAAGCTAATGGGGTTTCCCCACAAATGTTTTGGCGCCCCCTTGTTACGCCAGGAGGGCTTTAAATCATAACAAAAGAACAAGAAAATGGTTTTAAAATACCATCTTGCAAATGGCTGGCTGAAAGTATTCAAAATTGTAACTTTCAATGCCACCAAAAATCATTGCTCCGTTAGGAAAAATGAAACAAAAAGCCCTCAGCTGGTAGAACCAGGGGGTTCAGTCTCAGCTAGTGCTTGGGTGCTAAGTCATGCACGCGCTATCCAAAGCTATCAAACCCATAGCTCGCAGAGCCAGTACAGAGCCACTTCAGTGCGTCAAGAAAAGTAGCTAGCCTTTTATGGACACTGCATTCTTGTGAAAGGAAAGCAAGGGGTGGAAAGAAATGTACCTTCATGGGTACAGCATCTATTAACTAGCATTTTTTTGTACTCTATGCAAGCATCATCCTAAAAAAAAAAAAGTCTACAATTTTGTGCCTGAAAGTGGATGACTTGGAAAAAAGTGGGGCTGGGGGGCGGGGGGCGAGAACACGCACCTGCAGTCCTTTAGTACTTCCGTAAGAATTCCAGTGGTTAAGATCATTGTAGCCCAGTGGTTAAGACCAGCGGAGCGTGCTCTGTGATTGGGGGTGAGCAGCTCTGGGATTAATAATCCCTAAGGTGGCCGTGAAGATGAACCTACCTGAGGAACACTTATGGAGGGAATGCCCCGCCGCCTGCCCCCCCCCACTTTTTCCCCCTCAGCCCAGGAAACTGAGAAAATAAATAAAACAGTTAACTGACGCTAAGGCAACAATGTAAGAAGTGACTACGTTAGAGAGCATGCAGTTGGTAAAAATTCCTTTGTATTTACTAAGGAGCTCACGAGAAGAGAAATGTTGGTGTACAGTGGATGTCTGGACTGTGATTCGTGATGCCTGACACTGTCT